CCTCTACCTCTCTTCCTCTCGTCTTGCATCTCCACATACTCTTCTCTCTCTCCTCTCTCTCTCTATCCAGTTATCTCTCTTCTCTTTCTCTCTCTCTCTCTTCTCCTCTCTCCTCTCTCTCTCTCTTCTCTCTCTCTCTCTCTGCTCTCTTCCTACTCTCCTTCTCTCTCTCTCTGTCTCTTTCTCTCTCTCTCATATCTCTCTCTCTCTCTTCTTTCTCTTTCTTCTCTCTCTCTCTCTCAAGCATTCTCTCTCTCCTCCTATTTCTCTATTCTCTCGCCTCTCTTCTCCTCTATCTGCTGTCTCTGGTCCTCTCCTCTCTCTCTCATTCTCTCTCTACCTCCTGTCTCTAATCTCTGTCTCTTTCTCTATCTCTATTTTCTCCTCTCTCTCTCTCTCTCTCTCTCTCCCTCCCTCCCTCTCTCTCTCTCTCTTCTCTCTCTCTCTCTCTCTCTCTCTCTCTCTCTCTCTCTCTCTCTCTCTCTCTCTCTCTCTCTCTCTCTCTCGCTCTACTCTCTTCGTCTCTCTCTCTCTCTCTCTCTCTCTCTCTCTCTCTCTCTCTCTCTCTCTCTCGCTCTCTCTCTCTTCTCTCTCTCTCCTCTCGTCTCTCTCTCTCTCTCTCTCTCTCTCTCTCTCTCTCTCTCTCTCCTCTCTCTCTCCTCTCTTCTCTTCTCTCTCTCTCTTCTCTCTCTCTCTCTCTCTCTCTCTCTCTTCTCTCTCTCTCTCTCTCTCTCTCTCCTCTCCCTCTCTTCTCTCCCTCTCCTCTCCCTCCTCTCCCCTCTCCCTCTCCCTCTTCTCTCTCCCTCCCTCCTCCCTTCTCCCTCTTCCCTCTCCTCTCCCTCTCCCTCTCTCCCTCCCTCTCCCTCTCCCTCCCCCTCTCGCTCTCTTCTCCTCTCCCTCTCCCTCTCCCTCCTCCCTCTCCTCTCCCTCTCTCTCTCCCTCCCCTCTCCCTCAGCCCCCTCCCTCCGGATCTCCCATCTCAAGACCCATAGTTCAGACGCGGAGACCCCGGAAAGGAAAGAAAAAGTTGACTCTCTCTCCTCGTTCCGGACTCGATTCTGACCGTTGGGGAGGTGCTTCGGAAGGGGGGCGGGCTGGAACGCGGGCGGCTGGCGGTGGAACGGCGCGGGGCGGTGGAACGGGGCGGGGCGGCAAGGAGGGTGTTCTGAGCCTATTTCGTTGGCTTTTTTTCTCTTAGTCTGTCTGTGCTTTGTCAGATACGGAATGATAGCAAGATTAGTGTGTGTGGTGGTTTTGTGTGTTTGGTGTGTGTGAGTGTGGGCGTTTTGTGTGCGGTGTTTGTGTATGTGGCGTGTGTGTTTGTGGTGTGTTTGCGCATGTGGTATGTTATTATGATACTGATTCAGATCTACTTCCTTTGTCTTCTGGTGATAATAAGGTCTATCGATTTTCTTCAACAACAGGAGTATTGAAATCTTTTTCTATTGATTATCGACTTGAAAACAGTTGTTTAATTCCGATGCCTTTGTTACGCCCTCTAATAGCTTATGTATAGGAGGGGGAGGGGGGAGGGGGAGGGGGTTGTTATGTTTGTGTGTTCGAGGAGGAGCCTATGTGGGGAGGGGTGACGAGGGGGAAGGGGGAGGGGTTTTGTTATAACTATTCATAAAAAAAACTCCAAATATTCAGTGATTTTTTTTCTTCTTTTTCTTCGTCTTTTCTTTTCTGTTCTTTTCTTTTCTTGATACAGGATTCTTTTTATTTTATTTTATTTTCCTTTATTTTATACAGGATTTTTTTTTTATTGCGAATATTCATGCCTGATGTAGTCTTGCAACAACATTTTCATTTTAATATTATCACCCATTCTATATTTAGAATGTTATCTATATGATTTTGATTACTTGTTCTTTTTCAATCACGTACATAGCATTTTTTCTTTGCAAAGTCACAATATATAATTCATTTTTGATACACACAAAACGTAATACTTTTCAGTGAACAATAACATTATCATCACTTTTTTTTCTTTTTCAATTGCGCCATCCATATAGCATTGACGAGAGAGAGGGAGAGAAGGGAGGGGGGAGGGAGGGAGGGAGCGGCGAGAGAGGGAGAGAGGGAGAGAGCGAGAGAGCGAGGAGGAGAGAAGAGAGAGAGAGAGGGAACGGTTCGGAGAGGAAGAGAGTGAGAGAGGAGAGAAGAGACGACTAGAGAGACGAGACGAGAGACGAGAGAGAGAGACGAGATGAGAGAGAGGTGAGCAGGAGAGAGAGAAGAGAGAGAGAGAGAGAGAGAGAGAGGAACAGAGAGAGAGAGGAGAGAGAGAAGAGAGAGAGAGAGAGAGAGAGAGAGAGAGAGAAGAGACAGAGAAAGAGAGATGAGAGACAGAAGAAAGAGAGAGAGGGGGTAGGGAGGGGAAAGGAGTGGGAAGGGAAAATATTCTTTCAGTAAATGATCACAATACATGACATGGAATAAGTACAAACGACACATCTGTATTTCACAAAACTATTACAATAAGGAATCTGTTTTGATATATATTTACAACATTTTCTTTTCCAATACATCATCACAAAACAAAATTCACCCGTAGTCCACATTAAGACATAAGACAATGCAGTCACAGCGCAACATTCTTCCATGTACAACCGCAACACATAACACCGAAGACCCATATTGTATTATACAAAATAACAACACACGAGTCTCGCAATATTTCAACATCACAACCCAAGAATGAAGTTTATTAAAAAAAAAATTAAACGGGAACCAAGAATGAGGTTAACATTTTATTTTAAAAAACTTGATTTAAACGGGGAATCCAAGAATGCAGTTTACATTTATTAAAAAAAAAAAAAAAAAAAAAAAAAAAAAAAAAGCTTGATTTAAACGGAAACAAGAATGAAGTTAACATTTATTGAAAAAAAATATTTAAAAGGAAACCCAAGAATAAAGTTAGCATTTATTTTTTAAAAAGCTTGATTTAAAAGGACACCCATTTATTGAAGAAAAAAACGATTTAAACGGAAACCCAAGAATGAAAATATTTACTGAAAAAAAAAAGCTCGATTTAAATAGAAACCCGGAAATGCGAGAGCTAGCAGTCAGCGACGAAAAGCAAAATCTCTTGAATATTGCTAAAAAATGTTCGGGGTCTGAGGGTCTTCTCGCCTCCGGGGTCGAAAAGGCCGAAGAGGCGGACGAAGAACGGCGGGATGAGTGCTCGGACGTCGGGGCTTGTTTATGTGTATATGTTTGCCTGCTGTGATTATCTGTTTGGATATATGGTATATACATGGTATATATATAATATATATTATATATATATATATATATATATATATATATATATATATATATATATATATATATATATATATATATATATGAACATTATAACCTCTCCGATCGGGATTCGATCCCTCCCCGGCAATGCACGTGAATGTAGGACGGCCGCTCTACCACTCGTACAACGACCCACTATAGTGGGTCGTTATAATGTTCATGATAAAAATGCGTAATGCACATATATATATATATTATATATATATATATATATATATATATATATATATATATATATATTATATATTATATATATATTACATATACATATATATATATTATTATATATGTATATACACATAAACCTTAACAGCAGCAAAATAAAAGCGCAGCTTGTATCATAGACAGAAACACATTTACATACACACAAAGGAACAGGAAAACACCGAGAGAAAAACACACACATAAAGATGCTGATCAACCTTCGCTGCATCCCCTGTTGCTGTTGCTGTTGTTGTTGTCGCTGTTGTTTCAAAGGAATCCCTAAAGTGCTCCTCCCGCTGCCTGTGCATCAGCTTCGATTCCAAAGGCGCTAAGAAGGAATCGATTGATGTTTATTTCAGAGGCAAACAGAGGGAAATTTTTTGGGGGAAAAAAGGATTATGTGGTCTTTTTGTGCATTATTTATCTTTGTTTACGCGCCTCCTGGTCTGGATTCAAGTACTCCGTTGCATCAAGGTTTATGTGTTTGTCTTCTTTTCGCGTGAACACACAGGGGGTTTGTGTGGGTGTGTGTGTAAATGCATGTGTATGAGTGTGAAGGATTTTACTTGTACGTATGTGAGTAACACATAGACATAAAACCCCAAATCAGTTAATCAACCAATCAATAAATCAATCACTCAATCAACTAACCAATAAATCACCCACACAATCACCCATCAATCAACCAGTCAATCAATCAACCAACCAATAAATCACCACTCAATCAACCAGTCAATCAATCAACCAACAATAAATCACCCACACAATCACCTCAATCAACCAATCAATAACTCAATCAACCAATCAATAAGTCACCCACACAATCACCCTCAATCAACCATCAATAACTCAATCAACCAATCAATAAATTCCCCACACAATCACCCACTCAACCAACTAATAAATCACCCACCCAACCAACCAATCACCTCAACCAACCAACCAATCACCCCACTCAACCACTCAATCACCACTCAACAACATCCCCCTTAACCCCTCCCTCTTCGCTCCCTTCCAGATCGCGTCCGCAGGCGGGAGTCTCCAAGCCGAGTGCCGCCTCACCCTCGGCCCGCACACCCTCAGCGCACGCAAGACACTGAGGGTGAGGATGCGGATGATCTCTTACGTGGATAATTACCATTCTACAGGTGAGTGGTCCGACGGGGGGGGGGGGGGATTATGTTGGGGGAAGGGGGTGGTGGGGGGATGATGGGGGGAAGGGAGGGTGTTTAGAAGGGTGGAAGGGGGAGGTGTTTGAGGGTTTTGTTATGTTGGGAGGGGTGGATGAGGGGGGAGGGGGGAGGGTGTTGAGAGGGGTGAATGAGGGGGAAGGGGGAGGGTGTTAGAGGGTGGAGGGTGTTGGGAGGGTGTTGAGGGGGAGGGGGGGAGGGGGAGGGGTGGTTTGTTATGTTGGGAGCGGGGAGGCGAGGGGGAGGGGAGGGTGTTTTGTTATGTTGGGAGGGTGGATGAGTGGGGAAGGGAGGCAG